TTTGGTCAATGGCCACTGCTCCACCCAGATAGTGCTTCCTGGCTTCCATGTAATGGGAGGTACTGGGGGTGGGAGAGTGGCCTTTAGGATTGGAGGTGCACCCGAGCGGTTCCCCTATGTTCTTCTCTGTAAATATGAAAGTTAAAAAAATCCTTTTCCTTAATTCCCTCTAGATCCTGTTTAAACCTCTGTGCTTCTTCCTCATCCAGGATATCATCATAGGATGCTTGATGGTCTGTAGTGACCATGGCATCCATTTGTCTTAGCATGTTTTGCCCTAGTAAATTGGCAGTGAGGTTCTTTGCCACTAAAGCGTGTATCTTTCCCTGCTCTCCATCTGGGTTAGTCCATTCATAAGGGTGACCATTTGTTTGGACTGGGAGTTGCCCTGTACCCCCAATATAGGGGGCCCAGATGCAAGTTTCCAGTCCAAGGGTACTTCCTCCTCCCTGAGTACGGTTCGATCTGCCCCCGTGTCAATTAAGCAGTGAAACTGCTTCCCGCCTATGTTATGAGAATACTCATTATAGGGCTGAGTGCCTCCACCAGGGGGACAGTCCAATGGGCCTGGGTCATCCTGCCACGAGGCTGCCTGGGCCTCACAGCAGAGGGGGTTCCTCCTTGAGTTAATGGGGCTGGAGAATGCCTCTACCCTAGTTTAAAGGCTTTCCATCTAAATCAAACTTGGATCGACAATCCTTTTCCCAATGGTATCCCTTCCTGCACCTGGGGCAGGTTGTGGGGGGCAGTTTGCCACCCCCCTCCCCTGGGCCAGTTGTTCAGGGATTGTTGTAAAGAGTCCCTCTTAAAATGCCCCTCCTGCCCACATTTAAAACAAGTCCCTCTCCCCAATGGTATTGGGGTTCCTTGGCCCTGGGCTGCCAGCGCCTGGGTAATAGCCTCAGTCATTGAGGAGGTCTGAGCCTGTAAGGCTAAAGCTAGTGATTGGGACTGGTGCTGTTGCGTTCCCACTTCCTGTGAGGCCACCACCCATCTGCTCAGGAAACTCTCTCTCAATCTGAGCAGGCCATGCGGTGGTCTGCATTCATCCCTTCCCAGACCAGCAGCTTTACAAACAGATCTCGGAGGTTCCCTGCTGGCAGCTTGCAGTTAATACTCTGTTGGACTCAGTCCACAAACTCAGCTAGAGGCTCACCAGGTTTTTGTCTCATTCCTGCTCTGGGGGACTCAGTAGGCCCATCCTCCAGTTTGTACCATGCGGCAAGTCCTGCCTGCCTCACCTGGTCACAGTACGGACCAGGTATTGCGTCCTGTTGGATGCCAGTGGAGTGCCCTTCCCATGTCTCTGTTAACATGGCAGAAGTAATAGTTATGTCGGGTTGACCCTGCAGGTTATTCTCTGCCCGTACTCTGCATTCCTCCTTAAAGAAAGCACACCATTTAATAAACTGAGAAATGGTGAGGATGGCTTTGGCCACATCCAGCCAGTCCTTAGGGACACATGGGTTATAAGCAATGTCCTGTAATAGGGTCTGGGCCCAAGGAGAGTTCAGACCATCCTCCACCACCGCCTTCTGGAGCTCTTTAAGGTCCTTAGCTTCCCATGGATACCATTCCAAGGGCCTGTTAGCACTGGTGCCAGATTGACCAGATATGCTTGGGGAAGCAAATCTTGTGGCCTAGGGTCCAGGCCCAGCCCTCAGCTGCTCTGTGGAAAGTTGGTATGGATCCAGGTCTTGCAGGTCCCTCTCCCAGGTCGCGTATGGTAATGTACCTCCCCTCCAGTTGGGGGAATAGATAGGAGGGCTACAACAGTCAGTGACACCTGAGTCAGAGGGGGTAACTTTCACCCTTGTTTTAACTTCCACTGTGCATGATTCAGTGCATTCTTGGTCAATTTGACCCATTCCTTTTGCTTCCCACTTCCCAAATCCTCCTTTACTCCCTAAGGCCTAATGTTGTCTCATCCTCCTTCTTCTGTGAGATAGCATTGCTCATACTAAGGGTTTCTCTTACCCTGAGAGACTGCTTAGCCTTGGTCGGCATCTTCTCCTTTCATGCCCCAAGTTGGGTGCCAGATGTCGGGGCTTTGTCTGTTCCTCATAGACCGACAGGGTCCACGGAAAGGTAAATGCGGCAGCTCGCCCATTCCCCAGGCTCCCTTTCCCTGGGAGACAATCAGACACAGTGGAGAGTCAAGTCAAGCAGGAAAACTCATTTAATAACACACATCAAGCCCTTTTTAAAGCAAAAAGAACGGGTGGCATGGCAGGGGAGGAAAAGGAACCAATCACTGTCAAGTTCACACGCTATCATGCACCTAAGCTTCCATGGTCTTATTATGCAATAAACATAAAGCAAATCGGGCTCTGTCCACTCAACTACCTCTCTCAGCGCCATCTTTGCTGCCCATGTGCTCTACACACAGCCGTGCTGTGGGCAACACCATGGGTGAACGGGAACCCAAGAATCTACAGGTGGGATTGGACTGTGCAGGTGGATCTGAGTGCTCAGTTTCTGGCTCATTAACTCCCTCTGGAATGCAAGCTATAGAACCTGAGCTTTGTTTCAGAGGATGGCCATGGTAACTACTGCACCCTGCTTTTCCATCTCAGAGCCATCACAGCAGAATCCTGACCAGTGTCTGACAGTACATCCTTTTACCAGTTTCAGGAAGGGTCCAGCCCTTCGTGCCAACAGGAGGGCCACAGAGTGCAGGCGGAGGCTCTGCTAGGCCGCCAGCCTGGCTCTGTCAGCACCCTGTCACACCCTTTCTGCTTGATCACACTTTGACACAGTCTTCCCCATCCAATGAAATCTGCATTTAAAAGTATAATATGAGAGGTTTTGACAGCTTCCAGAGAGCTGAAGATGTGAGGGTTCATGGAGCATAGTGGGTGTAGACAAGGCACTCAGCTCCCATGGGCCTTGCCATACAAATCTTTTCAGTGACATCCTTTATGGTGAACCTGTGAGGATTTGTTGCCAGTCCTGATTTCTTTGAGCTGATCATCCCCACGTCAGGGCAGAGTCAGAAACACAGGCAAGCAAGCTGGGCTTTCACATCCGCAGCAGGGGAAGTTAGAGTGAGGAGTGAACTGAATTAGAGGGGCCGGGCTGTGTCTGCTGTTCCATGAGGAAATGCTCAGGGTGGGAGGTATTACTCAGGTGGTAGAGCACCTGCCAATGAGCAAAAACATCAGATTCCTACTTCAAGTCCTAGTCTCACATTAAAAACAAAAAAAGGAAATGCTTGCTTGCTACTGGGGAGAAATGCTCAAATTTTCAGAGCCACAGCTTTTCTGTTGACAGTGGTGGAAATTTGGAGAAAAGTCAGGGAATTTTGTTTGTCTTTACACATGGCCTGTAAGCTATTTCACAGTCCTGAGCCAGTGCTGGTGAAGAGGAAAGTAGTGTCTGTGGGTGAGTGTTTCAACATCCCATGATGAGTTCACTCTGAATTAAAGGTAGGTCCTAGAGCCAACCACAGTGTCCTCCTAAGCACCCCAGCTGGAGAAGACTCAGTACACAGAGGGTACAGTCTGGGAACAGAGGCAGGGGATGGCTGAGGATACATCCATAGGCCCAAGAAAATCAAGAACCATAACTGGGCCTGAAGTGTAGAGAGGAGTGCAGGGTGGATCCCCATAGAAGCTGCGAATGTAAGCCACTGTGTGAGGCTATTTGTCCCAACAGCCCCATAGAACAGGTGCATCAAATTCTCATATTGTGTGCACATGAAGGGAGAAAGCAGCAGTGAGACACTCTCTCCCCAGCACAAACCAGGCTGGGAGCAAGGGGCACCAGCCTAGGCCAGCCTGGGAGGGCAGTGTCCTAACCTCAAGGCTCCGATTGTGACCACAGCAGTGGACTGCAAACCCTCCCCTGTGTGTTCTCCTGCCTTGCTCCAGTGCACAGAGCACAATGATGCCACATGTGCTGAGTGCAGTGACATCACTGAGACCAGCTAACCCTGGTGGGCACAGAAGGCCACCTTCCCCAGGGCATGACAGACCAGGAAGCTGCATTGAGGTGAAGAATGGTCCTATGCTCCAGGAAGGTGAAGAGTGACTGAGAGCTTCCCTGCAGATGATCCACTGGGCAAGGCATTTAAGCATCTCTTTGGGATCACAATGGAACTGATGAACAGTTAGGTAAAATATGCAGCTAGGCTTAGTGATGTGCACCTGAAATTCCAGCACTGAGGAGGCTGAGGCAAGAGGATACTAGGTTCAAGGCTAGCCTGGACTACACAGTGGAGACCCTGTCTTCAAAAGCAAAAGAGGGTCTAGGAAGGTGGCTCAGTGATAGACTGCTTGCCTTGCACACAAGAGGCCCTGGGTTTGATTCCTCAGCACCACATAAGCAGAAAGTGACAATGTGGTTCAAATGGTAGAGCACTGGCCTTGAGCTGAAGAGCTGAGGGAAAGTGCCCAGGCTGAGTTCAAGCCCCATGACCGAACAACAAAAAAAAAAGAATGGAAAAGGAGGGGTTGGGAAGGTAGCTCAGTGGTAGACTGATTGCCTTGCATGCATGATGACCAGGGTTCAATTCCTCAGCATCACCTAAGCAGAAAAAGCCAGAAGTGTTGCTGTGACTCAAGTTTTAGAGTGTTAGCCTTGAGCTGAAGGGCTGAAGAACATCGCCCAGGCCCAGAGTTCAGGCCCTACAACCGACCGAAAAAAAAAAAGACAATAGAAAGGGAAATATTTAGGCATATTCTCAAGAATATGTAGATCCTTGAACACCATATCCATTGTGACACTATTCAGCATAGCTAAGAAACAACCCAGAAGATCCATGGTGTCTGCAGAGAAATGAGTGACACAGTACATGGTCATGTGGAGCAAAGTCAGCCAGGTTCAGAGCAGTGGAGTCAAAGGCCCAACTGTGGATGAATGCATAAAGAAGATGTAGCCTGGTCAGTCAGTGCAGGAGTACCCGGCCGGATGTGTGATCTTGGGATCCCACCCATCCCGGTGCCTCTGACGACCCTTCATCAGGATTTTTATGTCCGAGGCATAGTTCAGTGCCCAGGATGATGAACGCTGACATGGATGTTGATGCTGAAAATCACAGGGAACTGGAGGAAAAAACACAACTTATTAATCAAGTGCTGGAAATCCAACACACACTTGAAGATCTCTCAGCAAGAGTAGATGCAGTTAAGGAAGAAAACCTAAAGCTAAAATCAGAAAATCAAGTTTTTGGACAGTATATAGAAAACCTCATATCTCCTTCTAGTGTTTTCCAAATAACTGACATGAAAAGCAAAAGAAAGTAAGAGTTCCCTTGTCATTTACGGAATTGGTGCTTCTCTTTTCCCTCTCTCTCTCCCTTTCCTTCTCTCTGTCCCTTCCCCCTCCCTCCCTTTTTCCCCCTTTAAAACTTGGGTAGATTCCAAATGTTACAGTAACTTTGTTTGTGGCTTAATCGAATGTTTATTAAAATAACTTCAAATCTAGGCAAAATTAACTGCTTAACAGGAGATTTCCATGAGTCTGTGTATTATGTTAGTCTAAGAAAATGTGCAGATGTATTGTGCAGACTTTATAATTAGAATTGCATATTTTGTGAAACTTGAAGATGAATGTTATATTGAATTTGCTTTGATATATAGGCTTAGTCTTTTACTACACACTTACTTAGTAAGATATACAAGAAAATGTGACCAAAATCATGTACTGAATGCATAGCTTTATGTATGCACCTGTTCACCATTGTGTGCCCCTCCTCCATCTGCCTCATCCTCCCCATTTACCTTCTCCTAAGTCAAGATAGTTTCACATTTGTAAAAGTACTTTGAGTAGTAATCACCTGACAGTAACCTAATCTGTAAGTCCTGAAGTTAACCAAAACCTTGCCTAAAGTTTGTCAGTTGTACTTTCTAATAATAAGTTAGGAGTGATGGTTTCTCTTTAACCATTTGAAAACAGATTTGGGCTATAAAGAGGATTTTGAAGGTGAAACTAAATTATCAAATTGAGATCTGTTTAAAAACAAAGAACCAACTTGCTTTTGCATCAAATAACCCACTTGCTATCTGAAAAGGTAAGAATTTTGGTTATGGGCTGCGAAGGTGGCTCAGTGGTAGAGTGCTTGCCTTTAAAGTTTGAGGCCCTGGGTTCGATTCCTCAGCACCATGTAAGAAAAAAAAAGCCGGAAGTGGCACTATGGCTCAAGTTGTAGAGGCTAGCCTTGAGCTGAAGAACTGAGAGACAGTGCCCAGGCCTAGAGTTCAGGCCCCATGACCGGACACACACACACAAAAAAAAGAATTTGGTTATATATCGATTAGAAGTAGAAAGCCTGGGAGGAATACATAGAAATAGGTAAAAAAAAATAATGTGATAAAATTAGATACCAACTCCAAATGTTTTCACTCCAGATTTGTATTGTCTCTGCCACAGAACAGATCTTCTAGGGGATATATATCTAAATATATGAAAATTGGTTAAGTTTGACTGATCTTACATATGCCACATGCTATGCTATTCCAGCTCTAGGGTTTGGTTGTAAGGTTTATTTGTTGTACCTAGTCAATTAACTGTTACCAAATTCCTTGAAGAGTGTACTGGTATTAGAATCATGAATGAGAGAATTTTATATGTATAAGAATTGTTAAGCTGAGTATTTTTATCTCACTCTGTAAATTCAACTAATTGGTTTTCAGAATTTTAGTCATTCTCATAACAATTTCTAAAAATTTAGTTCATAGATTCCATTTGGTAAAGGAATCAATATTTCCCCTGTCTTTGTTTGAAGAAGTGAACCCACCAGTCTTAGGGTGGGTGGATCACCTTGTCTGCCTTACCCCTCATCGGAAACTTCTTCTGAGTGAAGCTGAAGGCCCTGTCTTAGGTTGGTCAGACTGGCACCCCCTGTTACCCGTCTCTGGCAGCACTTCCTCTCGGGGGGAGGGGGAAGGATTCATTTATATGGAGCTTGATCTTATGTAGCTGGCTGGCTAAACTCATAAGAGAGTTTGGAGTGCACGTATAATACAAGGAAGGCATAGCGAAACCATCAGTAAAAGCATTCCCAGGCCAAGGAATGACATTAGCAATCCTTTGACATAAGTCAGGGAAGGGATATAGCGTTGAAATTGTTTAAACAGGTTTTTTAGCAGTTTTTGCCACTTTAGAGTCCAGAGGTAGGGCTTATGCAGTATTTTGAGCAAGCTGATTAAGATAATGGGCTGTTTGTACGTTTTGTGTTAGTGTCACAGCAGCTGCCACTGGGAAGGCAGCTAACGGAATGAAGGCCAAAATATCAGCTACAAGTAGCCACACAAATCGATGAGGGAATGCAAGAATTTTTATACCAAGTTTTACAAATATTTACAGGAAGCATAACAAAAGATGGTTGCCTAACAATAAGTATGGATTTAGTTATGTCGCTATACAAGCAATTAGTAAAAGAACAATTTGAACAGGTGACATTAAAATAATTAGCTCCTACAGAGATATTAAACGGTCAATACATAATGACATCGGGTGGTGATACAACACTCATAATATTTTTTAAAAGGGATTAATTGGGCCAGGTTATGTTGTTGACTGCAGCCACCAGCATCCAAACATGATGTTGAGGATGCCTATTCATCCACCATAGTCCTAGATTGTCCTTATTAGTAAGATTAGCTCCAGACCAGTCCATTAATTGAGAGTTAGTTCCAGAAATATTGGTAACAAATAGCTGTACATGCCTGTACCTTATTGGATGAGGCTTTCCTGTAGATATTACCATTTGTGAAGAATTAATGCAATGGTGTATCACATGGGATGGAGAAGAATTTGCATGAACTGGTTGTTCAGTTGAGAAACATGTCATCTGTATATTGTACATTTGATTTTGGTCCGGGATCCAAATTTTATGAGATAGCATTATAGTACAGCCTGGAATGGAGCCTGAGAGCTGGTGGTAAAGCAAAAGGGAATTCCAATGTCTGAAGCTGAGATATTTCCCATCTTGCTGTGCTGGATGAAGGGATCCGGGGCTGTATTGTATGCTGATCTATTGAAATGAATGAGTACTTCAACTCCCTCCCAAGTTGTAGGGTGCAGAATAGGGGGATCCGGCACGTAAGCCCAATGTCTCAGCGTTTGTGTCATCTGAATGAGCCTCCACAATCCTAATGCAATGCTCAGGGAACCAGCGGGATTTACTTTCTTCCTGCAAAATCACACAAACATGTCCTTGACCCCATGTTAAAACCGGATCAGGCCCGTGCCAATCACCTGTTAAAGGATCCTTCCACTTAACTTGGGCAAAAGTTCTTTGCTCTTTGACCTCTTTTTTTTTTTTTCTTTCAAAAACCGCTGTGCTGCGGAAAGGCCATTACAGTCTAAGCTTAAAAAATGTAGTACAAATAAAGTGTGAGAAGAATATTAACAGGAGAGAAGGGGTATAATTTCCCCCCCCCTTTTAATTTAAAATTTTGGTGTTTAAATAGCCAGTTGGCTTGTTTAACAATTACTTGTCTTTGAGGAATATGGGGAATACTGTAGAGTGAAAAATCTGCTAAGATTTATAAAAAGTTTGAAAAGCTTCTCCAAAATATCCTGGACCATTATCAGTTGTAATATATTTAGGAAGTCCCTTACTGGCAAAGCAGTGTAGGCAATGAGCAATACAATGTTTCCTAGTTTTCCCAGTAAGAGGAGTATCCATAATAAACTTAGAGTAGGTATATGGTAACATGGACAAAGCAAAGCCATCCAAAAAAATGGAATCAGGCAGGAGTTTAGTCTACTTTTTCCACGGTGGAGGTGGTCAGGAGAATGATGTAGATTTCCTCCAGGTGACTATCAGGCTGTAGCAGCAGCAGCAGCAGCAGGATCTCTCATTGGTTCCAAGGGACTGTCGCACCTTGTGCTGGGCTGTAAATTTCTACACAGACTGGTTATGGATACAAGTAATACATAGGCTTGGCTGGCTGTGGCCCCACTAGTTTTTAAGACTACTTAGACGATAACCCAGGATAAATTACCAAGATGACAACCTTTTTAACTAGATAGTTTTTTTAACAAGGCTGACTTTTTTAGGCAGATATAGAGGTCTCAGGCCTGTACTACTATTTTTCACATCTTTTTTTGGTCTATTTTGTCACATTTTTTTTATGACTTTGGTCCCTTGTTCTAAAAAGGGGATGATGGGTGAAGATTCATCTTCTGTAACTTCTTCAAGCTGACTTAGGGGTGTTGATCCTACCTACCTAGGAACCTATAACCTTAGTCTATTTTACAAAGAGGTTACCATGGTTAGATGTCATTAAGAACAATATTTTAACTTTTGACAAATTCACAGACTTTTGCTTTTGGGTACAACAGTGTACCTTTTTATGCACTTTGGTTTGTAAAAGCACCTTTAGGAATGTGACCTCTAGTGACCCTAACAATGTCTAAGTCACCTGTGCAGACCTTTAGACAGATGTTAATAGAAACACACTCTCAGGTTTACAAACTTTTTTCTTGAGCAGATAAATTTTATGTAGCTGATGTTAGCTCAAAGGTTATTGCCAATTAGGGCTTTTGGCACATACAGGGGTTGGGATTTAAACTATCCCCCACATTTTATAACTTTAGCTGTTTAGTACTATCACAAGTTTCTGTTCCTACAAAGTAGATAGTAATGGATACTAGGCATGCTTACAACATATCTTCCCATGACCTCCTTGCTCTGACCAATTTATGAAGGGCCATGTACAAATAACTCTAGGATTTGACATTTTTGTCATCCAAGAATTGGCTTACTCCTCCATTGCTCTTGTTCCAGGAATGTCTTCTCTACACTGGAATAAATGTCTTATCTGTATTTTCCTTAGCTGGTTGCTGGACATGAACTCAGGCCTGAGTGCTGTCCCTCAGCTTTACAACTCAAGGCTAGCACTCTGACACTATGAGTTCCAAAGCAACTCTGCTTGCTCTTTCAGCACTCTGCTGGCTGAGTAGAGGTGACAGTCTCACAGGGACCTTTTCCTGCCCGGGCTGGCTTTGAACCAGTTTGCAGATCAATGAGTCTTATAAAAGGCCACTTTATTCCAATGAAAAGCAACAAGGTGGTCAACATAGAAGTAGCTTTTAAGCATGCTCTTACCTGAAACTTATTAAGAGCCAAATTCAGATCTGACAAACTTATAAGAATCCTCTGTGCTTTGTTCTTGGCTTGCAGGAAACTTAAAAAATCTATAAGAATAAACTAGAATAGCAATTAAGCAATTATTTTGGTAATCCTAATTTTTTTAATTTGAGGCAAATGTTAAGATCAATTTTACTTTTAAAC